GAGTTTAAAAAGAGCAAGTACAATCTGGTTCCATTTATATAAAATCCTAGAAATGCATACAAATCAATAGTGTTAGGAAATAGGGCTGGTGGATGGCTCAAGTGGTAGAGTGCCTGCCAAGCGAATGTGAGGACCTGAGTTCAAACCCCAGTGCCTCTAAAAAAAAACAAAAACTGATAGGAATTAAATGAGCGCTGGTAGGGATGTGAAGGGTGGGGGAGGAGCAGGAGGAGACTCTGGGGGTAACAGATACTTCCATTATTGTCTGTGATGGTTCCACTGCTACACACACACACACACACACACACACACGTGTGTATATACATATATATGCATATATTCCCAAACCTGTAATTGTCATGTTATGTGCAGTTTTAAAACATTAATTATATCTCCATAAAGCTGTTTAAAAAAAGATCTATAAACCAAATGAAAGTCAATTAGACCCCTAAACATATAAAAAGATGCTTAACCCCTCATTACAAGGGAAATGAAAATTATAACTACAACAAGGATCCGTCCTTACCCATCAAGCTGGCACAAATTCCAAGCACGGTCGTCCGCTCTGTGGGTAGAGTTGTGGAGAAACAGGCACATGGGTTCTAGTGGTCATGCCAAAGGGCACAGGCTTGAGGAAGGAGGGATCCAGCAATATACAGAACAATTACCTACATGCTCTCTCTTCTTGGAATGTATTTTGAATATACACCTACCGCATGACAAAAACAGAAAGGCCTCACACGTACACACAACTACCCATGGACAGCGTATTCACTAAAGCACTACTTGGCATTCCAAACACTGGATATGGTAGGCCTGAGAGCTTGTTTGGAGGTTCTAGCAGGGGAGTGCAGCAACTCGTACACCCTTGACTGAAGAATGGTCCTCCTCTATCAGGGATGGTCCTCTCTAGCATGCAGCTTCAGGAGGGACGCACATGGAGTGGTGAGGGAGAAAGGGGACACCCGCCTAGTCAGCCATATCAGCCGAATCAACCCTGGCAATCAATGGGGTGACAGATGTCGCAGCCAGATTGCCTGTACATCCATGATAGACCTGAATGTCTACCCATAGGTGACTGAAAGACTAAATGCCAGCCTGGCACACAAAAGAAAGAGGAAGCTTTGCCTAGCAAGCTAATGCCCTGAATTAAAAAACCAGTTCTGAAAAAAAAAAAAAAGAGGAAAAAAAGAATTATGAATACTTGCTGGGTGGGGACTCACAACTGTGATCCTAATCCTACCCACTTGGGAGGTGGAGATCAGGAGGATCATGGTTTGAGGCCAGCCTGGGCAAAAAGTTTGTGAGACCCCATCTCAACCAACAGCTGGGCACCGTGGCTCACACCTGTCAGCCCAGCTATGTAGGAATCGAAATAGGAGGATTGCAATCCAGAGTGGCCAGGGAATACAGTGAGACCCTATTTTAAAAAATAACCAAGAAATGACCCGAGCCTTGTGTGCACATGTGAATAATAAAAAAATAAAAATAAAAAATAAAATAAAATAAAAGATTTACCAGAAATTTAAAAAAAAAAAAGACTAAACCTTTCAGGTTAGTTTTAACTTCTGGAATTATGTTAATACCTTACAAGTTTGGGATTTTTTTTTAATGTATATCTGGGTATGGTGGCAGACACGTGTGATCCCAGCCACTTAGGAAGCTGAGGCAGGAGGATTGCAAGTTAGAGGCCAGCCTGGGATACACAGTGATACCTTGTCTCAAAATAAAATGAAAAAGGACTGGGGGTGTCTAGACAAGTCCTAGAGTGCTTGTCTGGCATGTACAGAGGCCCTGGGCTCCATCCCCAACACTGGGGGAAAAAAAGTCTATAAAGATAGGGACAAAGCTGGATGCCAGTGGCTCACACCTATAACCCTAGCTACTCAAGGAGGTAGAGATCAGGAGGATGGAGGTTTGAGGCCAGCCTAAGCAAACAGTTTGAGAGATCCTCACTCGAAAATACCCAACACAAAAAATGGCTGGTGGAGTGGCTCAAGTGGTAGAGCGCCCGTCTAGCAAGCATTAGGCCCTGAATTCAAACCCCAATACCACCAAAAGAAAAAAAAAAGAGAAAAAGGAGCAAAGCTAAAATTGAATATAAGCACAAGCACATGAGTCTAACTATTAAACAACAGTTTTCACACAGAAGAAAGCCACCCTCAGTGAGATGCTCTAAGAGATTTAGGAAAAGGACTGCAAAAACCTTCGTCTTTTAAATTACTTATTATTTATTTATAATTATTTATTTATTTATTCAGAGCCTTCACCTTGAGCCACTCCACCAGCCCTCCCCCTTTTATTTTTGTGATGTTTTTTTGAGATAGGGCCTCATGAACTCTTTATCCAGGCTGGCTTTGAACCATGATCCTCCTGATCTCTGACTCCTGAGTAGCTAGGATTACAGGCGTGAGCCACTGGTGCCCAGTAATTTTTTAAAAATTTTTATTTATTTTTTTCGGTGGGACTGGGGTTTGAACTCAGGACTTTGTGCTTGAAACAAAGACAATGGGGGAGAAGAGAAAATACAGAGTGGAGGAGATTGCTGGGGCAATGGATGAACTGGAGGCTTCAGCAGACCCAGGATATACACTGCATACACACTATGTCGTTTTGATCTGGTCTTCTGAAAGGGCCTAAAAGCAATGATAGCCTCATACAGTGAGGACTGGGGCATGAAGACCTTGGTTTCTAAATACCATCTCCCACTGAAAATACCAGCAACCCCTGAAAATGGCTTCCAAGGCTGGAGCAGGGAGTGCAAGAAAGTCCACACAGGCCCATGGTGAAGGGTGCACACTGGCAGAACCCGAACCCAGGACAATTTAAACATCAGCATGAATCACATTGACCCCAGCTTTCCTGTGGAGGCCTGAGGGGCTCTGTGGGCTCTATTCCCAGCCAAGCAGCCTTCACTGGTGAGAAGTCTCTGAAGCTGACCTAAGGGCACACAGCCAGTGGACAAACATTGCTCAGGAAAGCCTACCAAGTCCTGGCAGGAACAGGACTGGCCTAGGTCACCTCCTCTCCCCTACTCAAAAATAGAAGCTCCACTCCAGGTGGAGGTGCAGCTGAGGACAGGTTCCCTCCTCCAGGGGCAGCTTAGGGCTGCTGCAACCCCCAGAAGAGGCCATCAACATCTCAGCACACAGGCTCTGTCTGGCCGAAGCTCCCATTCCAAGCAAGAGCCAGTGCCTTCTGGAGGTGGGAAGCTTAGCCTCAGCACCCTTGCCCTGGCTTGCTTCAGGGTGGCAAGTCCCTGTTAGGACAGACAAGTGGAGAAGGCCACAGGCTACCCCTGCCCAGAGGCCCATTCCTAAGGCTTGGGTGTTACCAGAGAGATGGACTGTGCTGCCTCCTAGTGCTGGGAGGCTCCACCAGGGGGCGGTCAGGTCTTAAGGAAGGAAACTCCCTCTGTAAACCAAGGGGACCCCAGGGAACTGACTGGAACAAAGCAGAGGGAATCTTAAGCCCAGGGAGCTGTCCACAAAGGATGGAGATTTAGGCTGTTAGGTAAAGAAAGTGAGTCTGGAATAGGAAAAAAAAGAAGTTTGAAGAATAATGGTTAAAGTTTTGCTAGGTTGAAAAAAAGACAGATGCAAGAAGTCCAGCAAATCCCAAACAATATGAAAAAGAAAATCACAGGCATATTGCTGAAAACCAAAGATGAAAGAGAAAATCTTGAAACTGGGAGGGAAGCAGTGATTCAGGCGACCTCTGGCCTCTCTAGAAGACAATGCAAAACTAATTTCCAAAACCTCATCACCCCAAACACAAATTCTAACTCTCAGACAGTAACTACACCCTTCCCCCATAGCCTCTAATCCACTTTCTGCCTCTATGAATTTGTCTGTTCTAGATATTTCATGTGTGTAGAAATCATGTAATAGTTATTCTTTTGTGCAAATAATTTATAAAGTGGTTAAAAAAAAAAAGCCTGCCAATCTTGAATTCTGTATCTAGCAAACACATTCTTCAAAATCTAAAGTGAAATGAAGAAATTTTCAAATAAATGAAAGTCAAGAAAATTCATTAGATCTGAACTATAAAGACTGGGCATGGTGGTCCTCACCAGTAACCCCAGCACTCTGGAGGTCGAGGCAGAAAGATCTCAAGTTCAAAGTCAGCCTGGACTACCTAGGGAGCCCTGTTTGAAAAGAAAAAAGAAACATTTGAATGACAAGAAAAGTTTTTTCAGTTTCAAGGTAGAAATTCAGATCCACAAAAAAGAAAAAAAAGTGCTGAAAAATGGCAAGTAGGTGAATATAAGGACTGTGTATTTTGTCCTCTCATTTTCTTACAAGACAGAAAATTAAAGTGTCCTAGGGTGGCCTTTTACAAAATATACATTAACAAAAGCACAAGGTTGGAGGTCAGAGATCAAGAAAACTAGGGTTTTTTTTTTCGGCGGTACTGGGGTTTGAACTCAGGGCCTTCCCCTTGAGCCACTCCACCAGCCCTTTTTGTGAAGGGTTTTTCGAGATAAGGTCTCCTGAACTATTTGCCCGGGCTGGCCTCGAACCTCAATCCTCCTGATGTCTGCCTCCTGAATAGACAGGCGTGAGTCACCGGTGCCCGGCTTCAAAATAAGTAAGTAATAATAAAATAAACCCCTATCAGCCCTGGGATCTTGGTGGGCGCCGCAGTTCTCAACGACCCAGGAGGGGGCAGGGCCCAGGCACCGGGGAAACGGGGTGCCCAAGGAAGAAGCTCACTGGTCGCGTATTTTCCACAGTGAAGTGTTTCTCGATCCCTCGTGGGTTCCTACGCCATGGCTTTGTTAGGCCTGGCCGGGAACAGCGCGAACCAAGTCTTGGCGGGAGGCAGGACACCACGGCCCGCGGCTGGGCATCATCAACGCACACTCGACGCTGACTTCCGCCAGCCTCGGGCCTTCGGACGCCGGGCGCGGATTCCGGGGACCGCATTCGCCGACGTACCACAGTCTACCCGGAGCGCCTGGCAGAGCGCCTTCCGGCCGCGGCTCTTCCGGCGGAGGCGCGGTCTGGCGAAGCCCGTGCGCCGGGTGGCGGCCGCGTTCCAGCGGGTCCTCTTGGCGGCACCGCGGGTTAAGGCTGGGGGCTCGGGCAGCCTCTGTGTCACCTCGGTCGGAGCGTTCCCATCACTGCTGCCTTCGGCCCGCAGTCGAGCCCTACCCTGCTCCACACCCTCGGCGGTGCGGAAGTGAGCCCAGTTCGAGTCCTTCGCCGCCGCCCTGTGGCGGCCTCAGCCCCCAGGCCAGCCCAAGGGACGCGATCCAGAGCAGAAGGCGCTAGGCCCCACCAAGAAGGGGGGGCCCGCGCGCCCCGCCGCTCGCCCTGCCCGAGAGCCAGGGCGGCGCCGGACTTCGTGCAGCCCAGAGGTCCAGCCTTGCGAGGTCCCGCTCGGAGGGTCGCCGGTTCACTGATCAAGCGCCGGCTAGGGCACTGTCAAGCCTGTATGTACGCTCCACATCAGCGCCACCAGGCCAGCGTTTCGTCCTGTAGCAAAAGAGGGGGTAAGGCCAACCGAGAGAGCGTCAGCGATACGCGGGGTTGCTGCTGCAAGACAGTGCACGGGGCCTAGCTCTGCACCTGCTGATGCCCCTGCCTCTGTGTGACCCAGCAGTAGGACTTAGGAGCAGTGCCTCTGAGTTGAACCTTGCGCCCTCTCTGTGTTTGGCTCTGCACACTGAGCTTCGTGGCTGTAGCCAAGCCTGGTCCTCTCCCCCCTTCAGTGTGAAGAGGATGCCCAAACTGCAGGGCTTCGAATTCTGGAGCCACACCCTAGGGGCAGCCCGACACGTGGTGGCACCCATGGTGGACCAGAGTGAGCTGGCCTGGAGGCTTCTGAGCCGACGCCATGGAGCACAGCTCTGCTACACTCCCATGCTGCATGCCCAGGTCTTCGTCAGAGATGCCAACTACCGGAAGGAGAATCTATACTGTGAAGTGTGTCCTGAGGACCGGCCTCTCATCGTGCAGGTGGTCAGAAGGACTGTGGCTGCTGGGTGCTAGCTGAGTAGCTGAGTCTTGGATCCTGTGATGCACTCTTCCCTAAGCCTTTCATAGGAACTTGGGGGGAGGTGGTCCCTGCAGTCTCAGTGACAGGTGTGGTAAGCACAGCTGCCAGGGGGACATCGCAGAAACCAACCCCTCTCTTGGGAGCTGGCCCAGGTTCTGTTGATGGGACAGCTTGGGTGACCTGAAAGATTGTTACTCCCTGACATCAACTCCATGCTGTCCCTCACTCTCAGTGCCCTCTCCTCTCAGAATGATTAGACATACACATGACTCTCTTTTCAGAAGTCCATGGTGGCAGCTTCTGTTATACATCAGAAGAAATTCTGTAGATTCCTAACTGCTCTCCTGCTGCTGTGGGGACCCTCCCTGCTTTGTCATGTAAACAGTGGGACAGGACCACAGCTCATCAGGTGCTGGGTTCCTAGGCAGGGACAGACCAGGGCCTGAATGACTTCTGTGTCTTCTTCAGTTTTGTGCCAATGACCCGGAAGTGTTTGTCCAGGCAGCTCTCCTGGCTCAGGATTACTGTGATGCCATTGACCTGAATTTGGGCTGTCCACAGATGATAGCTAAGCGGGGTGAGTTGTTTCATGTTCCCATGTTGACACCTACTCAGACCAACACTGAGTGCTGGGCACTCAAATGTGGAATACAGGACCACAGTGGTGGGATCTGGGTGTGGGTGGGTCATGGGGAGGTCTGGTCCCTGCCTCTGATTCTGGTGGCCGCTGAGACTAGCAAGTTCTTTCCTCAGTGCTTCTTGCTCTAGGGCTGGGGATCAGCTCTGCTGGTCATATAGGCAGCCAGTTGGGACTCGCCATTTGGTGAGCTCCCCTGATAAATATATGCCTCTGACACTATGTGCATACTTTACAGGTTCAACCTTTCTCACTGGGCTCCTGAGCAGGTGCTGCTGTTCCTGGGCCATGTGGGGTGTATATTCCATGCAGTGCCCTTTGTGTTTGAGCAGCTGGGCAGTAGAGCCCTGAAGGCCGATGCTGACAAACTAATTGCCTCCATGATTGTCCCTCTGCCCCCAACAGAGAGACACCACTGCCTCTGGGTCCCTGTGCGACGGCTGGCTTGCACATGTAGTCTGGCTGCAGGGTCCTTATGGCCCATGTCAGTGTTAGACAGTGAGCCACAATGGGATATTGAGGTAGCCTGGATACTGGTGCAGTGGGCTACATTCGTCCTTTACAGGTCACTATGGAGCCTTCCTGCAGGAGGAGTGGGACCTGCTCCAGAGAATGAGTGAGTTGGCCACATGCCTCATGAAGCACCAGAGACAGCCTGGCAGGGGTGTATGGGCACTTACTGCTTGGTCAGGTTCAGGAGAGGACTGGGCAGCAGAGTGCCCTGGGGGACAGAGTCAGCTCTCTCAGCTGCCATCACTGGAAGCCTGCACTGGCCCCATGGCACATGAACTTGTGAGGACCTGTTAAGCAGCTTAAGAGTGATGGCAGGATGACAGCCAGGGTTGCCTTCTGAGAAAGCGGGTGTGACTCCATGTGGGTCTGGGCTACAGGGGCTCAGCCACCTGAAACACCACCACACCATCTCTCTTCTCAGTCCTTTTGGCCCATGAAAGACTCTCCGTTCCTGTCACATGCAAAATCCGGGTCTTCCCAGAGATTGACAAGACGGTGAGGTATGCTCAGATGCTGGAGAAGGCTGGCTGCCAGGTGAGAGCCATGGTTCATAGGTGTGGGTGTCAGAGCTGAGTAGACAGCCTGCAGCACCTTCTATCTCTCCCTGATCAGCTTAAGTGAAGTAGAGGATTCTCTACCCTGGTAGACCCCCTTCTCCTATGGCCCTTGTGTGGCGACTGAAACTGAGGCATTTCTGGGGGGCAGTGGTCCCTCTATGTGGCCTGACCCCATGGCTCTGCAACCTACCACCCAGGACCAAGTTTTCTATAATGCCACTCCAGCTCCAGGGCATTGTCCCTGTTGAGAATGACTCTGGGCTCTGCACCACATCCCTGGTTCCCCATATAGCCAGGGCCTCCTTCCAGGTAGCTCAATATCTAGCCTCCCTGGATGACTGGGAAGGAGCCACATAGCTGTCAGCAGACTTGTTCCCTTGTCTACATCCTGGCATAGTACAGGCCTGGTGGGGACCCTGTTCCCAGGGGCACCCTTTGAGGGGCTTAATTTCTTCCAAGTGGGCAGGAATCACCTCCCCCATGCCCTGCCAGCCTGGGATCAACCTGGCCTTGGGTGGTAAGGGCTCTGTCTTCCCAACCTGGGAGCTGGCTCTAGACGGGGCTGGGTGTACTGGGTGCAGCCTGGCTCCTTCCAAAGGGCAAGGCTCCCAGAGTTTTGGATGCCAAGTCTCGGGAGGCTTTTTCTCTACACAGTGTGGGGAGCTGGGAAATTGAGAAAGAGGGTCCCCTGGAGCCAGTTTGGAGTGGGGTTGAGCCAGGCCTTGGTCTGTTCTAGCTGCTGACGGTACATGGGCGCACCAAGGAGCAAAAGGGGCCCCTAGCAGGAGCAGCGTCCTGGGAACACATCAAGGCTGTGCGGTGAGTGGACACAGAGGGTGGGAGATGGAGCTATCAGTCCTTTGGGCTTCATGGTGGCAGGGGGTGGGAGAGGGGGAGAGTGCATAAAGTCAGCTGCACATCGCGGGATGCTCAGTACACCTGACACCCATGACCACCCGGGAGGGGGTTGGGGGCAGCAGTCTGGTGGGTGGGAGGTGACACATCCTGCCAAGATGGTGTTTGGTGGGCTAGTCCCCTTCACTCCTTGGCTTAGCATTGGCCAGGTGGGGTGCAGAGTCAGGCTCCTCTCTCCTGGCAGGAAGGCTGTGGCCATCCCTGTGTTTGCCAATGGTAACATCCAGTGCCTGCAAGATGTGGAGCGGTGCATCCAGGACACGGGCGTGCAGGGGGTCATGAGTGCGGGTGAGCAGCTGGGCACCTCAGCCCTCATCTGTCACCACTGTTGAGTGGACACTTCATTGCTCTGACTGCTCTGCCGATCGGAGCACTGAGACCACACTTCCCAGGCTGTTTCCATCCGTGGGCCCCGTGTGAGATGCCAAGCCTCTTCCCTCCACAGAGGGCAACCTGCACAACCCTGCCCTGTTCGAGGGCCGAAGCCCTGCCGTGTGGGAGCTGGCGGAGGAGTATCTGGACATTGTGCGGCAGCACCCCTGCCCACTGTCCTATGTCCGGGCCCACCTCTTCAAGCTGTGGCACCACACGTGAGTTGCTTCTCAGGCAGGAGCCACAGGCCGGGCTGCAAAGTGTAGCCCTACCCTGGGGCATTCTGGAATTTCCTAAAAACAACTTGTCATTAACTCGGTGGCCTAAGGGCCAGTGACTTGGAAGTGAGGGCAGGCAGGAACCTGGGTGGGGAGGGATGCCTGGCACTCGGCTTGGGTGGTGATTAGGAGCTGGGAGCAGGCCCAGCTCTCTGTGATGGTTGTCTGCCTCAGGCTGCAGGTGCACCAGCATCTTCGAGAGGAGCTTGCCAAAGTGAAGACCCTGGATGGTATTGCTGCTGTGAGTCAGGCACTAAAGCTGCAATGTCAGGCAAGTGCAGGGCTGCACGTGCCCAGCAGGTGGTGGGCTAGGGACTCAGATCTATGATGGGGCCTTGGGCTTTTGCAGGAAGACATGTCCAGACAGGAGGAGGGAGTGAGGCCATCCGGTGACTTGCCTTTCTTCCATTGGATCTGCCAGCCCTACATCCGGCCAGGGTGAGCTCCTGAGCCAACCCACGGTGGGGGTGCACACGAAGGTGCCCACCTGCCACACACCCCTGGTCACTAAGGTCAGTCAGTTCCTGCTCTTGAGGAAAGGAAAGGAGGCCGTGGAGTGAAGCACTCGTCCTGTGTGTCCCGTCTGCTGTGGGGCCTGGCTGGCTCTCTGTGGCCTTGCTAGAAGGTGCTGGTGGTTCCTTCCTATCGGTACTCATCCCAGTAAGATAATACTCCAAGCTCTTCTAATCCTGGGTGGTTTTGTCCATGGGGGTCAAGAAGTGGACCCTGGGTGTCTTCTGGGTTCTCCAAGGTGAGGCAGGCTGTTACCTGGTACCACAGTCATGCCCAGGCTCTGTGGCTGATCTTGGACCCCTGAGCTTTGGATGCCATCCTGAGGGGGGGGTTCACTTTCTATGTTGATCATTTATTGCATGCTTTGTGCCCAAATCCTGCATCGGTGATCTGAGTGGAACTGCTTGGGGTGGGAAGCCATGCATGTGGCCTTGGTGTATCAGTGCCCACTATGGCTGTGCACCCTCTCGTTGCCCTGGATCTCATCTGAGTTGACCCATTTGGTTGTGACCAGCTGGTCACCTCCTGTGGGTGTCCTTGGCTCTGCCCACCGCACTTTCCCTACAGGCCTAAGGAGGAGAGTAGAGAGAACAGTGGTGGCCGCAGCAAGCGGGCTCTGGAGGAGGAGGCAGGCAGTGTGGATGGCCTGTCCAAGAACAAGCAAAAGAAGCAGCTGCGGAACCCCCATAAAACCTTTGACCCTTCTCTGAAACGTAAGTGTCAGGTCTGCAGCTGGGGCCAGGTAGGAGCTTACAGCACTGCCCGGACTTTCACTTCACCCTCATCTTCCACTTTGCTTGGGACAGAAACCCAGGCCCCGTCCGTTGCACTCAGTGCTCAAAGCCAGGGACAGATGCCCAGAGTACTTGGTAGTTTGACCAGGTCACACTTGAGGTCTGACCACCAGGAACCCTGCACAGGGCCTTGGAGTCTTCCTGAGCTGTAGCGCATTCTGTATGTGGAGATGTCTATTTATAGTGTCAGAGGCAGCAAGGTTGGGGGACAAGCCTCTCAGGTAGGTGCCATCTGGATGGCCAGTAAGGGGTTTGCCTGCACATTGGACCTTGGGTCACTGAGGCTGTCACTGACAAAGAGAGCCCTGGGTGTGTCCTGGCCTTGTGTGGAGGTGGCTGAAAATCCTCTAAGCTGATGCTGAGAGCCCAGGGAACATGCTGGGGTCTCCGTACCCATGCCTTGGGGAATAGACCCCAGTCAGGCTCCTGGTTTGATTAGCTCCTGATTTGCTAACCTGAAACCAGAAATTCATTCACTCAGTACTTTCTGCATGGCCTCTCTGGGTGTGGGGCTGAGGTCTCAGTCCAGTGCAGTCTACCTAAGAGACCTGATTTCTCTCAGCATCCTGGGCCAGCCCATCCAAACTGTCAAGCCTGGCTTGCCCAGTAGTCCGGAGGGGGGCGAATTTCCAGGAGCTTTGTCTGAAAGTTTTGTAAGCTTGAGGAGACTTAAGCACTAAGAACCCGGGGACCCTCTCTTCTGTCTGCCTTTATGTGGGAAGCCCAACAGCCTGTTTGCCATGCTGCACCCCTGCCTACCACAGGAAGCGGGGCTTGGGGCCAAAGTTCCTGATTTTGCCCTTCATGGCTTTTTTGCTGTGGGAGACAGTAAAGGGTGGGATAAAGCAGCCCACTGGCTTCCTGTTTATTTCCCAGCAAGGCTGTGCCCACTGTATCTTGCCATCCACCCATTGCTCTAAAGGGAAAGCAGACTATAGCCCACCATATCCTCTGGCCCACTGGCCACAGGGACCCTTGTGGAGGTGGACAGCAGCCATAATCAGCCACCTGGGGCTATCTCAGGCTCCCCTCATTCAACCAGCACCTCTTTTTGTTCTTTTTTCCAGCAAAATATGCAAAGTGTGACCAGTGTGGAAATCCAAAGGTGAGCTGGTCTTTCTGGTGGCCTGCTGCCCAGACATGAGTGGGTAGGGTGGTCCCCACTGACACTTAAAAGGTTCCCTATTGCTGCTTGGAGTTTGGCACGGCATAGCCTGAGGATAGCCCCTCACCTTCTGTCTAGTCCTCCCAAAGACACCTTTCTCACCACCTGCCCGGGCCCAGAGTGGGATTTAGTCCAGAGTAGGCTAAGGAGGGGGATCTGGCCTGGGAGGTAGTCACTTCCTGTGTTATAATTCCCGGGCCACTGGGCACCTTGGCATAGTTTCCAGATGGCCAACACGGGCCCTGGAAAGGGTTGTCAACCTAAAGCCCACTAGCTTTCCTGTCCCCAGGGTAACAGGTGTGTGTTCAACCTGTGCCGTGGCTGCTGCAAGAAGCGGGCCTTCAGAGAGACAGCAGATTGCCCAGGTGAGAGGGCGCCTGCTGCCATCAGCTTCTATACTTCCATCAGCAGTGGGACCTGACTTCCTGATCCCCGTTCTCCTTTTGCCTTTTCCCAGGTCACGGGTTGCTTTTTAAAACCAAATTGGAGAAGTCTCTGGCTTGGAAAGGGACCCAGCCTGGACTCCAGGAGCCTCAACAGGTGGGGCCTGGAGCACCAGGTAGCTTCTCTGAAGTCATGGGCAGTGCCCTGGCCTGAGGGGCCGGCAGGAACGACCCCCACCCCAGGACTGCTGCTTTAGCCTGGACACTTCTCATTTAGGGAAATGCCTTTACTCAGGGAATCTGCTGCTGTCTGACATAGAAGGACATGCTGACGTCCTCTGGCTCACACAGGCCTAGCAATGCTGCACCAGGGGCAGGCCCAGGCTGGACCTGCCCTGTCCTCATATCTTGTGTTTTCAAAAGTGAACAATAAATCATTTCAAAGGTATGCACACAGAGCCTGTGATTATGACTCCCTAGTCCCATACCTAGGTAGACCGTGAGCCAGGAGGCAGCTCCCCTGGCTGGCTGAGAGGATATAGTCAGAGTCAGTGGGGACAATGGGGCCAGGGAATCAAGTCTGAATGAAGGCAAAGCACAAAACAGTAAGTGTCCAGAGTATTCAGGGGACATGGCAGCTAAAGGGGGCCCTGATCCAAGGAGACAGCTCTCAAGAAGCCAAAAGTGAGCCAGACACTATTCAAGTCTCCACCAGCAGGAAGGAGCACGGCCAAGGGCAACGACCAGTCTGCTCTTTAATGGACCCATGCAGTCAATGACACCTGCAGCCAGGACTGCACACAGATGGCAGGGATTGGGAGGTCTCTACCTGGGCACTACACACAAGTCTATTTCCTAGGAACAAGCCCACGGGTTCAGGCGTGAATGGCCACAGCAAGCAGCCTGCCTGCCTCCCCAGGCCCCAGCACAGGGTGCCGCAGCATGGAGGGCCACGTGGAAACCTAGGTGGGAGTCAAAGGGGTCGCACCCAGTGGCCCCCAAGTGGCACTGAGCCTTCTCTCTGGAGATGAGCAGGAGGAGGCCCAGGTGCTGTATCTGCTGGGGCAGGGAAGGGTGTGCAGACCATCCTGGAGGCTGGTGGACCACTTCTCACATGTTGGTGCTCATCCGGGACTGGCTGTTGGCTGGAGTCAGCTCCCCCTGGCTCCCTTCTCTGGGAGGGGACTGTGGTGAACAGGGAGAAGCTCAGCCAGGGGCTGTGCAGGTGCTGCCTGCTCCCTGGCAGCCCAGGCTGCTCACCTTGACATGGATCTGGTTACGCAGCACAGCCGCCCTCAAGATCATGGCCTTGGCACGGCGCTGGAACTCCTTGCCCATCAGCAGGGACTTCTCAAAGGTGGTACTACGCTGGTCCACATCCCGGGCATACAGGATCTAGAAAGGTGCAGGCTCAGTAGGCCTCAGCAGATCAGCCCCACCCCCACCCCCACCAGCCCCACAGCCCTCTGGCCACCTTGCTGTGTGAATCGATGCGGGCGTTAATGAGTCCCTCCAGGATGAGCTGGGTCAACTCGTCCTCCAGGGCTGCCACTGTGGTATTGAAGGCTGCAGCCATCTTGTGCATGTCAGCTGACACATAGGGACTGAAATACTGCAAAGCAAAGGCGACACTAGCTGCTTGCCAATTCTAGGGAGTCCATACCCAGCCCAGCCTCCACCCCAGCCCTTACCTGGATGAGAGCCCGGTTGCGAATCTGAGTGTACAGTGTTCTAACATGGGGTGCGAGGTACATATCCAAGAGCAGATTGTCCTGGGAGAAAAGAGCTGGTCGGGACTCTTCTGAGGCAGAAGCCCTGCCTGCCCTGCCTGCCCTGCCTCAACACAGCCATGCTGTTACCCCTCACCTTCATCTCGTCCAGCATCTTTAGACATGAGGCGTATTTAGACTCATAAAATTTGAAGATGATGTCTCGGACCTGTGGCTCCAGCTCCAGGAACAACTTGAAGGAGCTGCAGACACCAGAATGGTCAGCCCACTGCCTCCACCTGCCCTCTCTGCCCTCAAGGGAGAAGAGGGCCCAGGGCCCAGGCCCCAGGCAGGGGCAAAAAGCAGATGAAGCCCACCACCCCCACCCACCTGCTGGAGATGACGTTTCGCTGCAGCTCCTGCCGGTCAAAGGTGGCCAAGGCACACAGGCCACCATAGACAGCCACATTGCTGGGGGACAGCAGCTGAGAAGCAAAAGAGGTGGGTCCAGAGACCTGGGTCATGGGGGTTCACTGGTGCATGGACCAGGGAGGAAGTCCGCTCCACTCAGGGGAAACCAACAAAGAGCCCAACCCAAGAACCTTCAGTGTTTCTCATGGCCCTGCACAGGCTCCTTTTGAGACCCAGGTGCCCTCACCTCAGGGAAGTCACAGTGATCAAATGAGGCCAGCAGGAAGCACTTTGCAGCCTGCTTATACTTGCGTGCAGCCAGCTCAGCCAAGCCTAGAGGAGGGAGAGAAGGAAATGGATGAGGACCACTGGCTGGAGGAAGCTGCTAGAGCCTAGGAGCCAGGGAGGACATGGCCATGGGTGGCTGCCACCTTGACCACTTCTGTTCTCAGTACTGCTTCTCAGCTGGGGAGCAGAAATTCTAGCTCTGAAATAGAAATATGTAAGAAATGCTAATCAGGTATCAAACACCAATCATCATGTTCTACCTGCCCTCCAAAAAGAGGAACAGGTCGTAGAGTAGAAATAACAGCCCCCCACAAACTGAGCACACTCCAAGTCAGGCGCCCAGGGAAGCCTGAAGTTGTTGTTATGATGCCTGCCTCCATGCTGGCCCCATCCCATGCCAGCTTCTCCACCTGGACCTAACAAGTGTCATCTACACTCATGGATGTAGTGCACAGCATCTGACAACGCCCTGACACTTGCTAGCACTGATGACTGTACGCAGGTGAGGCCCTGCCCTCTGGAATTGAGGACTTCAGGCACAACACATGGGATGGTTGGGAGCCTCACCTGCAGCACACTTGAGCTTGGTGAGAATGGCCTGGGTCTGGCTGTCCCGCTCTCCACGCTGCTGCAGGGGAAGGCCAGGCACATGAGAGGCCTCACCCCTACCCTCTTCATCCCCTGAACCCAATGCCCAGTCCCCAGCCCTATACTGAGATGGGACAAAAGGGGAATGGGGCTGGGGCAAGCTCCAGGGGCAGGTTCTTGGAGGAGGTAGGCCTTACCTCAGCAATCTCTGGGGTAGACTCAGCCTTGCTGACATAACTCAGCACATGAGACCAATTTTGCAAGTAGACACTGACCTGGCAGACAAGTAGAAAGGGCCAGACTGAGCCTGGGTTACCCCCCGTGTGCCCCCTGTGCCTGCCCATCTGCCACCCAGGCCACCTTGATGACGTTGAGGCACATGTTGATGACGTGCTTGGCGCTGGTACAGTAGTCTCGGGCCCGGGAGTAGCACTTAAGAGCGTTGCTGAGGTCCCCACAGTCCAGGTAGTGGTCACCCAAGTCATCGTGGCCGCGCCTGTGGGCCTGGCCGTGAGTGGACACTGGTGGGGGGGGCCAGTTGGGCCCAGCTGCCCGCCTCCCCTGCCCCGGGCAGGCCAGCACCTGATGCTTTCCTTGATGGAGTTGCCCTTGTAGTTCTTCAGGTCTGTGTCCAGTTTCTCCAGCTTCAGAAGAGCCTTCTTCCGCGTGGCCTCCACCCAGGCTGTGTCCAGAGGCGGAGGCTCCACACCACTCTCAGGGATGGCATCTGGCGCATTCTGCAACTCCCTGAGGGAGAATCTGGCTATCAGGATGGCAGTGATCACCAGGGCGAGGGAGGTGGGGGGAGGACATCACTGTGGCTGGCCCTCAGGAAGCCCCTGCTCCAACCCTGAGGGGCCCAATCTGTACCAGGGACACAGAGACAACTGCTGGCCCAGAAGCCCACAGCCAGTTAGGGAAGCTTCTGGGAGGGGACACCAACTCCTTGCAGAATCAGGAACTGCCCACACACGAGCAGAGGAAGTTGGGACATGGGCAATTAATTCAACCTGGAAAGTGAGCATAGGGCCTGCCACCACCTACCCCACCTGACTTCTGACCAGGGAAACCTGCTTCCTACCACATGTGGAGGTGCTGCTGTAAACACCATCACAGAGATAGGGGTACTAGGTACTGCAGGGGCACAGGAAGACCCCTGCCCAGACAGCCCAGAGGGGACACACAATACTCAGCCCTGGACACCTATTTCCACCAAGCTCTGCCTTCTCATCAAGGCCTTACCTAGTGGCCTCAGAGAGCTTCCTGTGGATCTCCTCATACATGTCCACGTTGAAAGTCCTCTGAACAAAGGAGAGGGCCATCTTCAGAGCCTCCACCCGCAGTGGAGGGCAGTGGTCAGCAATGAACTGCAGGCGCTCAATGCGCATCAGGCCGCTGTAGCTGGCTGCATACTGCTCCAGATCCTGGCCGAGGGGGAGAGGGAGAATAGACAAGAGGGTCGCGCAAGGGTGCAAGGGCCCCACAGCCTAAGCCTGGGGCCAGTGAATCAGGGACAGGGATCTGATGGCCTTGGCCAGAATACCAATCTTTCACTTGTGCCCATGAGAGGCACTGGGCATGGGGCACTAGACTAAGAGACTGCTGAGGTAGACTGGAGGCCTCTGGAGTAGAACTCGGCACTGGGGGTGGAATTTGGACACTTACTAGGAAGCGGTGGACACTGGGGTGAGCAGGAGACAATGTTTAATGGGTTGGCCCCAAACAGCCCTGCCCTCACAGTGAGACTTAACAGGCAGGGCTGCTCCTCATGGGTGAGAAGTGGGTGCAAGGTCTCACACTTAAGCTAAAAACCTAAGTGGAGAATGGAAACCCTGAAGGTTCCTGGCTCCGACAAAAATATGATCAGAGAAGTCCTTGAGAAGCACCCGTCTTTCCAGAGTGTACGCTGTAGAGGGGAGTCTGGCATGGATACGCCCCCCACCCCTGCACAGGGCCCAGATGACCCACGGTCTCCCCCACTGGGCTTCATACCAGGGTGGGGTTCTCCACCACGTAGTTGACATCAGGCGCATTCTGGGGATCTTCCTGGGGGTCCACATCAATCTGCATGGGCTCCACAGCGCCCTGCAACACAGGCAGGGGACCTAGAGCTTGGGGTTGTCCAAGGAAAGTGGGAAAACCTCGTGTTCTATGGTCAGCTCTGATAAAGATTTTTCAAGGCACAACTGGATCACTCTTGCAGCTTGCTGTCCCCAAGTGTGCCACTCGCACCCAGGCTTCTGTGGCACCAATGAGAGAAGTGGCTCCTCGGGAGACCCTAGGGACTCACAAGAGCGGAAGCCTCTCGCCCAGCTGTTTCTGGGGGGGAAGTAGACATCGGGAGGGCTCCTGGGTTTTCCCAGCCACCATCCTAGGGCAGTTTCCTCCAAGACACAGAGAAGAAACTGCCGCCGCCTAACCCCAGGAGGGAAGAGGGCCGCCCACCCGTCCCGAGCAGCCGGGAAAATCACACTGGGGAGAAAGTCACGCCCGGGGAAGGGGGAAGGGGGAAAGGGGAAAGGGAAGGAGTCTTCTCGGGCGGCCCGGGGGTCTGGGCCGGTCGCAGGGGGAGCCGGCCGCTGTCTCTGGGCCAGGTCCGTGCGCGGTACCTCGGAGAGCAGCGTGCAGGCCGACAGGCTGGCGCTCAGGCTGCAGTCGCCGGCCGTGCCGGGCCGCAGGTCCGCCCTGCTGTGCGGAGAGCTGCGGCACAAGTCTAAGGCCGACGAGGAGGCCGAGCTGGGCGCCGGGCTGCCCCGCATCCTGACCCGACGCACCCTGGCCGCGGGCAGCCGGACGAAGAGCGTTGGTGCGGGGAGGAGGAGGAGGAGGAGGAGCGGGGGGGGGGAGGAGGAGGAGGAGGAGGGGGCTGCAGCGGAGCGCGGCCCGCGCGGCCCGTCGACGCTGGCGCGCGGAGGCCCGGCCCGGCCCCAGCCCCAGCCCCGAGGCTCGGCATGACCTTCCGCCCGGCCCGGCCCGGCCCTTACTGTGCAGCAGCTGGCGCAGCCCCGGCTCGTTACCTGCAAATTAAACACTTGAACCGGCAGCGGCATCTTCCACCCACTGTGCCGCGGCACGCCGTCCACTTCCGGGGCAGCGCGGCGCCGCTTCCGGGTCGCGTCTCGGGGCGGGGTGCGCGCTGCTCTTAAAGGAGCCGCCGCCTTCTCAGGCTGGCTCCCGGCGCAGGGGTCCGGGTGGCCGTATGAGCCGCGCGAGGGGGGCGCTGTGCCGGGCCTGCCTTGCGCTGGCCGCGGCCCTGGCCGCGCTGCTGCTGCTCCCGCTGCCGCTGCCCCGCGCGCCCGTCCCGGTCCCCTCTTCTCGTAGTGCCCCGACCTCCGCCCGGACCCCCGCGGTCCCCCGCCTGCGGCCCGACGACGTCTTCATTGCGGTCAAGACCACACGGAAGAACCACGGGCCGCGTCTGCGACTGCTGCTGCGCACCTGGATCTCCCGGGCCCGACGGCAGGTGCGCGCCCCGCCTCGCTGCCCCGCACCTTTCCAGGCTTCCGGCCCCGGGCCTCCGCATCTGTCCACTCACCTGGGCCCTGCCGGAGCCCCCGGCGCCTCACAGGCAGTTTTTCCCTGCAGACATTCATCTTCACCGACGGAGACGACCCTGAGCTCCAGCTGCAGGCAGGTGAGAGTTGGCATAGGGTGGATGCGGCCTGGGCATCGAAGCTGCGTCCACTTGTCTGAGGTTCAGCGTCCTGTGATGGAGAGATCATCTCTAGGCTCTCTGTGTCAGGCCCAGGGTCCCGCAGCTCTTAACAGTACCAGAACACTTTTCTCCCCCAGCATAGCCAGTTCAGTGTCCAGCTTGCCTGCCAAGCTCCTGTTCCCAGGGCCTCTGGCCAGTGCCACATCCCCCGAGGATGACAGAGCTGGGAATTGTCCTTTCCAGGTCTGGTCCTGTTTCCACTTGTGGAATTGCAGTGGCAGTCATCTGCTTCAATCACTAGTGGTCAGAAGTGAGGGCTGAGCTGGGGGCTGCAGTTGGACCTGGGCTAGGTGGCCAGATAGCCAGGTTCTGGCCTGGACCTTGGGGCAGGCTGAGCGTGAACTCTCACGCTTCCCATTTCTCCAACTTGGCAGAAGGCCGTGTCATCAACACCAACTGCTCTGCCGTGCGCACCCGCCAGGCCCTCTGCTGCAAGATGTCCGTGGAGTACGACAAGTTCATTGAGTCTGGACGCAAGTGGGCAGTGGTCTTACCTTGTCCCCCCTCGCAGAGCCCAGGGCTGAGCAGGGTGGGGGCCCCTACCTGTGCTTGCCCCAGGGCACAGGGCTCTCCTCTGTCGGCAGGTGGTTCTGCCACGTTGATGATGACAATTATGTGAATCCTGAAGGCCTGCTGCACCTGCTGTCCACCTTCTCTCCCAACCAGGATGTCTACCTGGGACGGCCCAGCCTGGACCACCCCATTGAGGCCACTGAGAGGGTTCAAGGAGGTGGAACTGTGAGTGTCGCTTAGATGCCTCCCTGAGGCTGAGTTGAGAATGGGCTGAGAAGGGTGTGGGACAGGTGTCCTGGACCCAGGCCGTGTGGAGCTGGTAAGGCAGACTGTGTGGGAGTGAGGAGGTGTCCAGAGATTTACAGATGACTAGTTTTAGAAAACCCAAGCCCCTATACCCTGCATGGGCTCTCCTAAGGGTGACACTTCACAAGTCGAATGGAGGGTCTTCTCTACTGAGCAGCCTTGACCAGGGCTTCTCCATCTCTAGGTGACCACAGTCAAGTTCTGGTTTGCTACTGGTGGGGCTGGGTTCTGCCTAAGCAGGGGCCTTGCTCTCAAGATGAGCCCCTGGGCCAGGTGAGTGGAAGCCCAACTGCTTGGGCTGAGAGGGGCAGGAGGAGGGGAGAGGAAGGCCGAAGTGGCGCTGACCAGCCTCCTTCCCCAGCCTGGGAAGCTTCATGAGCACGGCCGAGCGGGTACGGCTGCCTGACGACTGCACAGTGGGCTACATTGTGGAAGGGCTTCTGGGGACCCGGCTGCTACACAGCCCCCTCTTCCATTCCCACCTGGAGAACCTGCAGAGGCTGCCGCCAGACGCTGTGCTCCGGCAGGTAGTCTCCCAGGCTTCCTGGTGCCCCAGCACCAGCCGACTTGGGATTCCTGTGTGGCTAGGGGTGGGCCCTGGGAAGTTCCTTACCTGTTAGACAAGGTGTCTCGGGAGCAGATGACCATGTCAAGTGTGAGGGCAGGGGTGGAGGTGGTGAGGTTCTCTCCAGCAGGGGGACTCTTGAGGCAGGTGTAAGATGGGAGAAAGCGCTGGCTCTCACATTCATCCCTGCACCTGTCCCAGGTCACCCTGAGCTATGGGGGCCCCGAGAACCCCCATAACGTGGTGAATGTGGCAGGAAGTTTCAGCCCACAGCAGGACCCCACAAGGTGAGTGGGCAGTGGCAGGGGCTCTGGTGGCAGGCCCTTCCCCACAGCCCTGACTCTGCTTCCTCCCTTCTCAGGTTTCAGTCTGTGCACTGCCTTCTCTACCCAGACACAGACTGGTGTCCCCTGCAGAACAGGGGTGACCTTGCCTCTCGGTGATTGACGACCCCTGGTGGCTGCCCCCACCTGACCTCCACTGACTCCTTTAGGCCACCAATACAATGTGGCACTCACCAGAAGGCACTCAGGCTGCCTCAGATCTCCCACAACCCCCCAGCAAGCCGGGGACAGGTGCTTTGGGAGAGTGAGGACAACAAGACTGTGTGTGCTGCAGCCACCCAGGGACAACCTGAAGGACAGTACTGCTGGGACCAAAGATGCCCGCCACACCCCTGGGCCAGCCCATGGGAAAGGTCTCTATCCTAGCATTGAGTGCTCACTCAGGAGGAGCTTGGCACCTAGCCTCTCAGCGCATCTTGTCCTCTTCACCTGCTGGGAGGCCTGAGCAGTGAGGAGGGGCTGCCCTCCCTGTGCAGACCATGTAAGTTGTGCTTGGTGAGGCACAGCACTCAGGACCAGCCCAAAGACTGTGCTCCCAGTGACAGCAGGCTCTCTGAACTGGGGCCTCCATTGCTAGCCTCCTTCCTGGGGGCCTCCAGGACTCTCTTCTCTACCTTGATTCAAATTAAGGACTTTTCCACTCTGAGCCCTGTGCCCCTAACCCCTTACCCTCCTGGGTCCATAAGGCAGCAGGAGCCTCTCCTTTGGGCCCCTAGGGAATGAGACAGCAGACGTGGTGCCTTCCATGGGGGCAGCGCAGGTAGTGGCCCCTCTGCCCATCTGCGCTGCCACAGTAGTGAGTAAAGGCTTCAGTGTCACTCAGTTTGGCTCTTGTCATAATCAACAGCTGGGACACCTGGCAGCCCATCTGCAGCTGTCCACACAGCAGATCCTCTTCATCCCTGGAGGGCTGGGGGAATGGCTCAAACGATAGAGTGCCTGCCTAGTAAGTGCAAAGCTCTAAGTTCAAACCCCAGTATCACCCAAAGAAAAGTTCTTCCTCTTCCTGGGGAGGCTGTGCCCTGGAAGGAGAGGTGCTATACAGAGGACAACACACATGTATGTGTATCTCCTTTCTCAACACATCACAAAGCAGCTGATACACGTGTGTGTAGGGGGGTATGTGCAGGTGTGCATGTGTGCATATGTAGCTGTGTAGACACGGTGTGCACCCAGGCACATGTACATGGGGCGTGTAGATGTGTACAAGTGGTCACTGGCTTAGGATGGTTCAATGTAGGATTTTTTGACTACATGGTGTAAGAGCATGCTTTACATGCTATAGAAATCCTACTCCCAAATTGTGAATTGTGATCTTTTTCTGGGCGAGGGGCCTTCTCTTTCAGTGCTGGATAGTGGCAGCTCCTGAGTTGGACAATTGTGTACCCGCTCTGAGGTGTGCTGTGAGGGCGTTGGACCAGCTAGTTGTATTAAATTCATTTTCCGTTTATGTTATTTTCAACTTGTGATAGACTTGTGCCTCTGCATTGTAAGTCAAGGAGCATCTGTGTGGGGAGGGCAGGGAGGCAACCATGTGACCATATGGGGGTCTGTGCATGTGGTTTCCATCCACCATGAGTAACACCCCAAAGTATGGGTGTGCACGCCTATAATCCCCTCATGTAGGAAGCTGAGGCTAGAGGATCAAAAGTTGAGGACAGGGCTGGTGGAGGGGTTCAAGTGGTAAAGCACCTACCTAGCAAGTGCGAGGCCCTGAGATCAAAGCCCACTACTGCCACCAAAAAAAAAAATTTTGAAGTTCGAAGCCAGCCTGTGCAATTCTCAAAAAAAAAAAAAGACAACATCCCAGGGACACTTGGGTTGTTCAACATTACAGGTATTGAGACCTTCAGCTGCTGGTGACCCAAGGAAAGGCACAGGCTCTAGGATGAGCAGCGTGGACTGCAATGAGTGGGAGGGTGGTGAGTGACTCTGTGTGCCTGAAGCAAGAGAAATCCTCCAGTTCTTAAAAGTTTTGGTAGAATTGTCCCAGCAACAGTGAGGTTTCGTGGAAGATGGTATCACCTGATGGCTGCAATCTTCTGCCACCTGCCTCTGTCCCCACACGTGGACATGTAGCTGGCTGTGCCTCGGTTCACACCAAATGTTCCTCCAGATTTCTCCTTCCTTCCTGATCTGCATCTGCCCACAGGCCCCACTCATGAACAGAATGTTGTTGGACTTCAGAGACCGTGGTGGGGAACATGTCCACTTCTATAGAAAGGGTGTCTGGGGCTAAGTTCCTGTGGATAGTTAACACCCAGAGCACGTGCCACCAACAGCAGACATTGTGTCCATGACCTCAGCAGTCATGTCACCCATGGCTAGGGATGAAAGGACCTCTCCACTGTGGCAACAACTCCAAGGCTGGATTGTGTTGCAGACCTGTGAGCTAGCCCTGTGCCATTTCTCTCCTTTCTTAATCCAAGTTCACTCATCTGGTCGTGTGTTTCTCCTAAGTGACTGGCTGCACGGCTCCTGTTTTGTGTTGTTGAGTTGTGATTATAAACTTTTTCTAACTAGTAATTTTCTGCTTTGATCCAAACAGTCATTTCTGGGTAAAACCAGTCCTGCAGCTCAGAGGGAGACTGACCATCACAGACTCAAGTCCCTGCTAATCTTGTTAGCTTAGACTGCAGAGGAACAGCTGCTGGCCTGGGGTTGAGAGAAAACAAATGCCTGCTACACCGTGGGGCATGAGTGGGGCCCAGAGATGGCGCTGGGGCTCCAGGAGCTGACACAGTGGGAAGCAGCCAGGGGGCCCTTTAGGCGGGTGCTGTTAGAGCCCCAGGACAGCCAGGTGGCCACGGGCACAGGTCAGTGAGGAGGGGGGTGCCCTGGCAGGTTATGAGGAAATGCCCAAACTCAGTGACCACCTCTTTCAGGTCTCCAAGCTAGAGTGTAAGCGCCGCCCTGAGACCCTCCTCAAATCCTACGCTCCATGCCCACTGGCGTGGGTCTAGGAAAGGATGGAGTTAGGCCAGACCGCCCCTCCCCAGATAGAGTGACCTACAGCCCAGAACTCAGCCTGGGCCACCTTAGAGCCTTCACAGGCTCAGGTGCACAGCCGCAGAACAATTCCATGTCTCAGAGAAGGTGGGCAGGAAGGGCCAGCATCTTGGGGCTGGTTTCATGTTCTGGGAAGGCAGCTGGTTAATTTGTTTTGCAGAAAAAAGGGCCTACAAGAAATACGCCAAAATGTTTGTCTATAGTTGTCTCTGAAAAACGAAAAAATTAGCAAAGTTTTTTTCTCTTTTCTTGTATTTTACAAATTTCCTATCAATGTATAATCAGAAAAATTGAAATTTCATTCACTAAAGGTTCACTGGGGTTTGAACTGAGGACCTCTCGTTCTACCACTGGAACCATTCCACCAGCCCAAGGTTAAATTTTAAATTGTGTTGAGGCTGAGGACTTGCTTAGCTCGTGTGAGGCCCTTGATTCTATCCCCACCACCAAGCAACAACAAAAAGTTTATTGGACTTCCACCTCACGCCATTTTCTTTTTCTTTTTTATTTCTTTTATTCATATGTGCATACAATGTTTGGGTCATTTCTCCCCCCTGCCCCCCCGCCCCTCCTCTCCCCCCACCTCCTCCCTTTCCCCCCCACCCCCTCGAAACCCGGCAGAAACTATTTTGCCCTTATTTCTAATTTTGTTGAAGAGAGAGTATAAGCAATAAAAGGAAGGAACAAGGGTTTTTGCTGGTTGAGATAAGGATAGCTATACAGGGCATTGACTCACATTGATTTCCTGTGCGTGGGTGTTACCTTCTAGGTTAATTCTTTTTGATCTCACCTTTTCTCTAGTTCCTGGTCCCCTTTTCCTGTTGGCCTCAGTTGCTTTTAAGGTATCTGCTTTAGTTTCTCTGTGTTAAGGGCAACAAATGCTAGCTAGTTTTTTAGGTGTCTTACCCATCCTCACCACTCCCTTGTGTGCTCTCGCTTTTATCATGTGCTCAAAGTCCAATCCCCTTGTCACACCATTTTCTTTAAGAGTGTTTGCTGAGCTTCAGTGCACTCCTGTATCATTACCTCCCAGGCACAAAGCCGGTGCTGGAGGAGTAAAGCCCCGCAGACTGGCTGGCATGGAAGAAGGCACTGGGGCTAGATGGGGAGGGGAGCAAGTGCTAAGGCCGTGGCTCTCTTTATTTGCAATTTTTCCTCCTCCCTGACATTTATGTGTCACTCTGAACTCGCTTTCCCAGTCAGTCCTAGGCATGCAGAGTGGGGAGTTCTGAGGGGCATCCCTTCCCAGCTGAGGTTGAGCATGGGACTCTAACAGCCAGCCTCCCGACTCCCAGCGGTGGCTGGGAATGCAGACAGCAGGGGGCACTACAGCACAAGAGCCTCTGGCGTGGGCCAGCAGGACAGGTTGGAGACCCAACTTGGGCACTTGGCAGCTTGGGCAGCCTTGCGCAAATTACTTAAGCACTTTATTTTCTCTTTTGTAAAATAAAGAAAACAGAATTGATCTTCTGGAATGTGTGAGTGGTTTGTTTCCTAGCAGCAATATTTGATGGTTGCACAACTCTGGATATAATAAAACCACTGAATTGTACACAAGGGAGTGCCATCCAAGGCACATTTTAGGGGCACCTAGAGTTCTGAGCTCATTCTCCTGCAGGCAGACACCTGGTGTGTCCCAGTGAGAAGCCAGGATGGAGTGTAGGTGAGGGCTTAAGGAATTTGGGCTCAGGGCCATACCAGGCTCTTTCAGTGTTGGGGGCAAAAACCTAAAACATCTTTACCAGGGCCTGCAAGTGTTCACAGGCCTGGTTTGGACTCATTCCCAGGAGAAACCTGCAGTTGCCTGGTCACAGCAAGGTCAAGGCGCTGTGATTTATGTTCAGCCAGGACACAGAAGGGATGGGGGCTGGATCAGGACAAGGGGACCCTGCAGTATTACTTTAAAAATGAAAAGGGGTCGGGTGCCAGTGGCTCACGCCTGTAATCCTAGCTACTCAGGAGCCAGAGATCAAGAGGATCGTGATTTGAAGCCAGCCCAGGCAAATAGTTTGTGAGACCCGAAAAGCCCATCACAAAAAAGGGCTGGTGGAGTGGCTCAAGGTGTAGGGCCTGAGTTCAAGCCCCAGTACCACACACACACACACACACAAAAAAAAAATATATATATATAAAATCTGTAGCAATAAATTGAACCAAGCAGATGAAAGGCTTGTACACTGTAAAATGATCCCAACAGAAATAAAAGCATATCTAAACAAAGGGAAAGCTATCCTGTGTTCATGAACCTGAGGCCTCATCCCAGGTGCAGCAACTGGGGACTCACCCCAGAAGTCCTGCTGCCTGTTAGCCAGTTTCTGAATGCTCACTGTGGTGTTTTGCTGACTGGCAGGGCTGTTTCCAGCAGGAGGGCAATCTGGGTACCAGTTACAACATCTAGCTGGAAGCCAATGTCTGATGTAAGTGCAGGTTTTCAGTTTATGGAAAGGACTGTGAGTGGCACATCTCTGGTGGGTTTGGATTTGTTCACTCAGCTCTGGAGACAGGTATAACCATTCCTGCAGAGCCAGCCCAGAGTCGTAAGGGTCTGGTGGGGTCTGATCAAACAGAAATGTGTCTAGTCCATCTAGTTCCTGGAGGAGGGCAGTTGTTGGACTTCCTAGAGATGCCAGTCAGTCAGAGGGAAGGGCTGGTTCTCTCTGTGGGACTGAGGCTGGGGACCCAGTAACCTGGCCTGTAGAAAAGACACCTTCCTCATCCCCAGGATACCTAAATCCAGTAGCAGGACCTCAGCTCCAGCTTCATAGGTGCCCAGGGCCAGTACTGCAGGCTGGGTCCCCTCCCTACCTCACTCCCAGCTGCTGACCTCAAAGGATGGGGGCCTCTGTTTCTCTGAGGATGTGGTAATGGATCTATGGTAGTGACAACTTTCAGGCAGAAAGCTTGATGTCCCCCTCCCTTCTCCACCCCTGGGGGCTAATCTGGAGAAAGGCTGGGTGGCTTTTCCCAGAAGTATCCCCTTACACCCTCTCAAACCTTTGCACCCCTCCCTCTCTGCCCTAGCCAAGAACTTAGTATCTTGGCAAAGGTGAACAGCCTGGACCTTCTCCAAGTCCCCACCTCGAAGACCATGCTGTAATTCATGTATATAATGGGGAGAGTCCCCAGGTCTCTTCTGAGCACTAAATTACCTCCCTGCAGGGAGGTATGTATGGGTATGTGGTGTTCCATTTGTGCTGTGGTGGTTGTGTGTGGTGTTGTGTTGGTGGTTTAAGCTGTCCTTCCATTGCAATCGACTGCTATTCTGTGGTACACAGGCTATCTCTCAGCCAAGCCTGCCTCCTTTCTCCTCCAGGAAGCCCCCGATTTCTCTCCATCCTGGCTCTGCATAGTTCATGGACCTGAACAAGCTAAGGACAGTCACCCCTGAACATGGCACCCTGCTGTGTTGACTTGCTTTAATGTGGAGGGACCTGAAGAGCAGTAGTTTTGGAAAAGTTTTTTTCTCTGACACCCCCTGTTGGCCCAAAGTCTGGTCCCCCCAAGAAGAAAGCCAGTTTCCTCTGGCTCCTTCTCTGAGCTTCTGTTAATTAAACTTAAGTGGCAGCACAGACTGTGGGCTCTCAGCACACAGGACAGTCTGCCGTCACCTACTGCTAAGTGTTCCGCTGAGAAGCTCCACAAGCTAAAAATATACGATGGAGAAATAGCAGCCTCTTCAACAAAAACTGCCGGGAAAACTGGTTAGCAGTCTGCAAAAAACTGAAACTAGATCCATGTATATCACCCTATACCAAGATTTAACCTCAAAAATGGATCAAAGATCTTAATATCAGACCCCAACTCTTAAGTTGATACAAAAAGAGTAGGAAATACTCTGGAGTTAGTAGGTATAGGTAAGAACTTTCTCAATGAAACCCGCAGCACAGCAACTAAGAGATAGCATAGATAAATGGGACCTCATAAAACTAAAAGCTCTGTCATCAAAAGAATGGTCCCTCTAAACTGAAGAGAACACCCACAGAGTGGGAGAAAATATTTGCCAATTATACATCAGACAAGGACTGATAACCAGAATATACAGGGAACTTAAAAAACTAAATTCTCCCAAAATAATGAACAATAAAGAAATGGGCATGTGAACTAAACAGAAACTTCTCAAAAGAAGAAATTCAAATGGCCAGAAAACACATGAAAAAATGCTCCCATCTCTAGCAATAAAGGAAATGCCAAATTAAATCCACACTAAGAATTCCACCTCACCACCTGTTAGAATAGCCATCATAGCACACACCACAACAGGTGTTGGCGAGGATGTGGGGAAAAAGGAACCCTCTTACACTGTTGTGGAATGTAGACTAGTACAAATCTCTGGAAAAAAATTGGAGGCTACTTAAAAAGCTGGACATCGATCTACCATTTGATCCAGCAATACCACTCTGGGGATATACCCAAAAGACTGTTACTCCAGAGGCACCTGCACATCCATGTTTATTGCGGCACTATTCACAATAGCCAAGTTATGGAAACAGCCAAGATGCCCCACCACTGACGAATGGATTAAGAAAATGTGGTATCTATACACAATGGAATTTTATGCAGCCATGAAGAAGAACGAAATGTTATCATTCGCTGGTAAATGGATGGAATTGGAGAACATCATTCTGAGTGAGGTTAGCCTGGCTCAAAAGACCAAAAATCGTATGTTCTCCCTCATATGTGGACATTAGATCAAGGGCAAACACAACAAGGGGATTGGACTATGAGCATGATAAAAGCGAGAGCACACAAGGGAGGGGTGAGGATAGGTAAGACACCTAAAAAACTAGCTAGCATTTGTTGCCCTTAAGCAGAGAAACTAAAGCAGATACCTTAAAGCAACTGAGGCCAATAGGAAAAGGGGACCAGGAACTAGAGAAAAGGTTAGATCAAAAAGAATTAACCTAGAAGGTAACACCACGCACAGGAAATCAATGTGAGTCAATGCCCTGTATAGCTATCCTTATCTCAACCAGCAAAACCCTTGTTCCTTCCTATTATTGCTTATACTCTCTCTACAACAAAATTAGAGATAAGGGCAAAATAGTTTCTGCTGGGTATTGAGGGGGGGAGCGGGAGGGGGTGGAGTGGGTGGTAAGGGAGGGGGTGGGGGCAGGGGGGAGAAATAAACCAAGCCTTGTATGCACATATGAATAATAAAAGAAAAATGAAAAAAAAAAAAAAGAAGCTCCACAGACCACTGCTTATCTCCGGGTACAGCGGGCTCTGTCCAGGCCACTCCATGCTCCCCAACACCACTGATCTCCCCTAAAAACTATCAACAGTCCCCATTCTCTCACTCCCTACCAAGAGGGGTGCATGAACCCTGACCCTTGTTGGACTGGTGGCAGCCACACTTGATGATCACCTTGGCAGGTAGCAGATTTGGGTTCCTTTCTCCTGTACAACCTTCCCCTGTCAGCAACGTTTGCTGCTAGGAACTATTAATTGCTACCTGATGGTTTCAGTGCACTCGTGACTAGGAGGGCCCAATGACAACGGTGATTCTTGAAAGCAGTGCTAAGGATGGCCACTATCCTTCTTGGACTTGGACCAGGCAGAGGAGTCACAGTCTGCCTTTAGGTCATCCAGAGTCCTGCCCTAAGTCTCTCCCTCCTCAACTTGGCCAAAAACTCTCTGCAGCAAAAGACCTGTATTGTCTGTGGCCCCAGGTGGGCCCCTTCCCCTTGTTTGAGGGCATGAGTCATCTCTCCATCCATCCTTCCCTCATTTGCAGACCATGCTGAAAACACACTCTACGAAGTGCTAAGGAAATGACAGATGTCCTCCTGGGATCTGCTGTCATGCGAGAAATGACAGAGTTGGGGGCAGCAGCAGGGACACAGGGGCACAGGAGGCAGAGGGGTGCTTCAAGGAGCTGACTCTCAACTGAGCCCAGAGGCCAAAAGGGCAGAGGAAGCAAAGACCCAACAGCAAGAAGCAAGAGAGAGAGAGAGAGAGAAGAGGAGGAGGAGCCTGGAACCGCCAGCTTTGCAGGCCTGAAGGAGCTCAGGGGTTTCCAGGCTTCCATTTTCTGGGAAGTTTATGGGGGGGTGCAAAGGTGAAGATGCTGGACACAGAGCCTGAGGTTCAAGCCACAAGAACCAAAGAGAGAGGCAAGTGAAGGCGGAAGCTCAGAGGTCACAGGTAACCAACCTGGGATACAGGCAGATGAAAAGCTTTTCATGAAGGAGAATCAGGGGAACCCAAAAGTCTCCTATGGCCAGTGGGGGACAAGGAAGGGTCTGAACCAAGTGGGGGCTTGGGCAAAGCAGCCAGGGACACAAGTGGAGACTATGGCCGCCACTGGTTTGAGGACCAGGTGACAGGGCAGAGATAGTGCAATTCGGGGGAAAGGGGCAGGGCGAAGGGGCTGGGTGGCCTGCAGGGTGGGAAGGCAAGGGGTCTCCCCCTGCCCCCTCATGTGCTCAGAGCTCAGGCTGGCCAATTCCTTGGCTTTCAGGTGCCTGGCATCGCTCTCACGAGAGTCCGTCCCGACACCTCTCCTGCTGAGACGCTGTCTAGCCCGGGCAGCCGGTGGGACGGGCTTGTGAGGATACTCCCTCTTGCCGGCATCTCTGATAGACGGGGCTTCAGGCCAGGCGTACATGCACTCTCCCATTCTCTGATCCTGAATGCCCCCTGTGCCCTGTCCTCTGAGAGCCCTGAGCTCAACAGCCCTGAGCTTCAAAGTCCACTTGTCCCTCACTTGGCAGTTCTGGCACCCAAGCCCCGTCCACACCTGGCTCATGTGTCTCCTGGTAAACTTGGGGTCCAGTTTCAGGTGGCTTTGTCCAAGGCCCTCTCCACACCCTGAGAACAGGAAAAGCAAAGAAGGCCTTTCTTCTAAAAGGCCTCTGAGAAGGAATTTGAGAGGGAAGCTTCGGGAAGGATTTTGCCCAGGCCCAGCTCTAGCCCCTTCCTGCACTCAGCAGGACTCACACACGTGTGCACATGGGGGTGTGCATCTTCACCCCTCACCCAGTGGTCTCCTGAGAACGTCTGCTCACCCACCAGACCCACCGCAGTATTTCTCTGCATTGCTGCTTCCATGTCAGAAGTGCAGGTGGTTCACCCAGGTGTGCACTCGTGTGCCTGGCAGCCCCTCCCCAGGGTAGCCTCAGACCCCAGGCTGATCAGGGCAGCCTGGGGTCAGCCTCCATGTCACCCTCCCTCAAGAACCCCCAGGAAAGGTCTGTTTTGCTCTATGGTGGGCTGATGTGTGGGCTGCACATAGCAGGTGGCCAGGCCGGCCAGCTCCATGTCACCCTCCCTCAAGAACCCCCAGGAAAGGTCTGTTTTGCTCTATGGTGGGCTGATGTGTGGGCTGCACATAGCAGGTGGCCAGGCCGGCCAGCTCTGCGTTGACCAACTCTGTGGCCTGGGCCAAAGAGCTGGCTTTACTGCCCTACCCCCAACTCTGCCAGAGCTGCTCCCCTTGAGAGGGACACCCATCCATTCATCCTCTGCAGTGGAAGGACAAAGGAGCCCAAAACCATAGTCACATGAAGGGCACAAGCAGGGGGCTGCGTGGTGCCCCCTGTAAAGGTACGTGCCCAGGTCCCTGTGAACATGACCTTGTTTGGGTAAAGGGACTTTTCAAATGAAGTTGAGATAAGTAGTGGATCCCTGGGCCCAGATCTGGTGCCGCCAGCCTCTTTTTATGAAGTCAAAGCTCTAGTGGGTCGTCCCAACTCCCACACTCCCCAGTTACTTGCAGCCATCTACAGGCACTTCCAGCTCATCCCTGGAAATCCACAGCCTCACTGTGGTCCAGCAGCAGGAGTGGGGGCCCAGGGAGGGAGGTGGATTTTCAGCACACTCATGGTGGTCATTTCCTTAGCTCTGGAGGCCTTGTCAGTGTGGCCACTCGTCCACAGAAGAATCCCATGTTGGTCTTCTGACCCACTGAATGAGACTATGGGGTGTGCAAACCCAATTAGAAGCCTCTGCCTCCCTGAACAGTAAACCAGGGGCAGCACCACATCCCAAGAGGGATTTTGTCAATTAGTGCCGCCATTGAGGACCTGGAAATGCAGGATGGTGACTTTTAGCACGTGCTCACTGACTTCCCTCCTCAGCTGTTCAGAGGCCACACAATGGTTCTTGCAAATGACAGGGAAATGCCATAAAATAATCAGGAATCGACTCAAATGCAGATGTTGTCCCAAACATGGCTTCTCTCAAGAGTCACACGACACAACTTAGACCATCTGCTCCTCAGCTGTGGCTCTGGCAAGAGCTTTGCAGTTTTTTGTTTGCGTGTTTGTGTTGTAACAGGGTCTTGCTATGTAGTCCAGGCTAGCCTTGAACTTTCAATCCTCCTGCCTCAGCCTCCTGAGCACTGAGATTATAATGGCCTTGGCGAGGGCTTTTCCCCTATACCTGTTAGTGAACACCCTCAGAAGCAGTTTGCTTTCAGCTCAGGACCAGCAGTCCATGCTCATCTGCCCGGGGCTGTCAGCTCTCTGATTACATGCCATGAGCTCTGGAGCCTTCCTGCTCTTTTGTTCCACAAGACATCAAGCGGCCATGATCCTGATGAAAGCCAGCGAGACCCGCAGGTAGACATAACCCCAATCCTGACCTACTGATAAGACAGGCATCCAGAAGGCAGGAAATAAATGCCACAAACGTTCAGAGCCCTGCCACCGTGGGATGTGCCTTCTAAGGCAGTGCCTAAGCTGCTATCTCTGGCCCTGCTCCCAGCGGGAAGGACCTTTGGATTTGCATGAAATGCTCACTTCTGTGTGTTATTGTATGCACTACTCTGTAGGAACCCAAATAGCTGCTGGTTCAATCAAGAACAAGCAAAGACCCAACCAGTGCAGGCTGCTTCAAAAGCTGTTCTGTGCCCCTCAGATCCAATGATGCAAGGTTTATTGCTTGCACCAGGTGAGGAGAGCACTGGGGTTACCTGCAGAGTACTGCTCTCCCTGAACAAAGAAAAGGAACACAATGTGGGGATTTCACTGGGGGAGTTTATACTCACGTAGGAGCAGCACATTTCTGAGTATGCTTAGTTTAAGGTCATAGAGCCCAAGTTCAAAAAGGAAAGATGAGCTGGGCATGTGGTGCCCCTCTAATCCCAGCACTTGGGATACGGAGGCAGGAGGATCAAGAGTTTGAGGCCAGCCTGGGCTACATAGTGAGTTCGAGGCCAGCATGGGCTATAAAGCAAGACCTTGTCTATAAAAAAAAAAGGGAAAATGGTAGATATATTGCCGGCATGCTCAGTTCAAGGCAGTAGGGCACATGTCCAAACAAGAAAGACGGCAGGCACAAACACTTCTGGGCATGATCAGTTCAGTATTACAATGAAACAAGTTCATTCCAGTCTAAAAGAAGCAAGTCAGAGTATCTTGGTCACCTTGGCTGTTTCCTCCTAAGTTTCTCCAAAGAGCTTCAGCTGAAACAAAAAGAAAAAACAGCTTTGCAGGTACATTGACAGTCTTTTAAAGAGACGGTAGCACCCCGAATCCACCTTGAAGGTCAGTTACTGCCAACTGAACACTGATGGTGAATCGGCTTCCCCTTCCATGTGGAGTCTGAGCTCCAGGGGTCAGGAGAGTCTGCTAGCTTACGAACCAGCTGGCTGGGGTTCTTGTCTCTACCCAGTTGGGAATCATGGGTGGGAAACCCTTCCAGTTGCTCCTCACTCTTGAGGTATTTGCCACATGGATGACAGTGGGCAGCAGCTGTCAGCTGTGGGCCTTTGAAGCTAGGGAAGCGGCATAGGGTTTGGTTCCAGGCCCCTGACAGCTTGGTGGTGACACCAGGCTTGGGGCCCTAAGTACAGCTTCTGCAGGAAGGAGTCTCTCCACGGTTCGGGGGCCTCATGTTACAGTTGGACCCCAGGTGAACCCCAGGTGATCTAAAGCCACTGATATTCTCTGCTGGCTGCTGCCTGCCCCCACTTCTCTGTTCGATTTGGCCCAGGGTCACTCAGCTTGCCAGCTTTACTGCTGTCCTGCCAGCTTCCTCTCTGCCTCTGCTGCTTGTTCTCTTCTCATTGTTGGTGCTCAGGAAAGAGGGCCAAGACACTGGAGAGAAAGCCTTTTTTTGAACATCATGGCAGCAGCAAGGACAGTGTCTCCCAGTTGCTCAAAGCAAAACTGAGCAGTCCGCTTAGAAGAGGGAATAGCAAGAAGGGGAGGGGACGAGAGCGTCTGCATCCATCACAACAGTCGGCTCATATTTGCGTCAAGCACGGCACAGTCCACTAGGCAATGATTGTGTTTGCGCCAGTCACAGGTCTTCTGTGGGCTGACGTGCCCCCTCCCTCTGGCCTGGGTGGAAGTGGCTGTTCTGGCAGTTGGTCTTGGGTCAGGTCAAAGCACCTTTCAAAAGGGTGCTTACAACAAAGGCTGATCAGTAGCAGTACTTTAGCAGTATTTAAGCAAAAGATGTTTTTCAAAAGGGTGCTTAAAAAAATAAATAACTAAAAAGGGTTGCTGGAGTGGCACACAGGACAGAGTTCCTGCTTCGCAAGTGTGAGGACCTGAGTTCAAACCCCAGTACTGCCAAAAAAATAAATAGAAAGTATCAGTAATATCGCATAACATAGAGGAAAAGGTAGAGGATATAAGGGCGTGTACTGAAAGCTGGTGACAAATGGAGGGTGGGAGGTAAAGGGGTCAGGGAGAGTAATGGAAGGGGCTGAGCGGACCAAAGTAAAGCACACCCACGGTGGGCATTCATTGAGACACCCTTTGAACAGCAACTTGAATATTAATAATGAAAAGCAGGGCAATAAAATAGGTACAGTGGGGGGGTACTAGTGGGAGAGGGAAGGTGAAGGAAGGTATGGCAGATGGACTTCATATACCAATATGAAACAGAACGAAGAGACCTCTTGCAATTGCTTTAAGTGGGGTGGGAGGGGGTGAGGGGGAGAGACGATGGGGACAATGTATATATATAAGTCTAATTGGAACTGTCACTATGAATCCATCCCCCTGTATAATGAATATATCCTAATAAGAAAATTTATCTATAAATAAATAAGAAAGGAACTGCAGCTTTTCCCCCCATAGGTGAGGGAGTTTGTCCCTACAAGTTCCTGCCTCCTTAGTGAATGACTTTTGAAAATATTTGAAAATAGAAATTATCCTTAGTCTTTGCTGGGAGTGAAAGGTGGTCTTGGAGGGAGTGGGGGTGGGGTCAGGGTGCTGCTATTTTTTTTTTTTTTGAGGTACGGGGTTTTGAACTAAGGGTCTATATTTTGAGCCACCCCACCAGCCCTTTTTTGTGAAGTTTTTTTTGTGTGTGTGTGGGGGGGGGGTGCGGTTTCCAGCATAAGCAAGAAAACCTGCTAGACATATTCTAAAAGAGCTGTGACACTTATGTGAAGGTTTTTTTTGAGATAGGTTTTCACGGTTTCATGAACTATTTCCCTGGGCTGGCTTCAAACCTTGATTCTCCTGATCTCTGCCTCGTGAGTAGCAAGGATTACAGGTGTGAACCACCGGTGCCCCACCACTACTGTGTTTTTAACTGTGGGGGAGAGGGCTATGGGGGCCAGATGTCTTTGAAGCTGTGTCTCCTGTT